CTCTCTCTCTCTCTCTCTCTCTCTCTCTCTCTCTCTCTCTCTCTCTCTCCCCTTCTTTTGCTTCCAATGCCCTTCCCTGCCCCTTCCTTCCTACTCTGGCTGTCACACTCCATGTGAAGCAACATCTGCCATGGTCCTGGGCCAGAGGCAGTCGGGCCACTCCCCCTACCCAGCTGCAGGCTTGCCATGTATTTCCTGGGTGTTCAACCGTCACTGTTTTCCTGGGTGATGTCATTACTAAGGGGTTAGCATGGTGGTTGAGAGAGCCTGACTTGCCTGGGCTCACCTCCCAGCTCTCTACTTACTAGAGATAGATAGCCTGCTTCCCCTCTGTGGCCTCATCTGTAAACTGGAGATGATACTCATAACTAGTACCTACATCATGAGATTGTCCAAATGCCCTTTAAATGAATTAATACACGTAAAGTACTCGGAACAGTGCCGGACACACACAAATGCCTTCCCATTTCTTTGTGTTATTGCTATTGCTGTCACCCTTTGCATGTTGCAGCTTACTTACCCAGACTCCAAAGTCACCTTTGTGTGCATAGTAAAGAGAAAGAACCAGATCTCAGTGAAAGTTGATTATTTCAAATGAAAGAGAGGAAGGAGTCACAGGTTTCAAGCTTCGATGAATATGGGAGAAAAGCCTTTGACAGAAATGGTAATGCTGGGAGTGACGAGCTGGAACTGATGACAGTAGGGTTATCTCACTAGTTTGCAAATTAATCTGCTGGGATGGGAGCATATTTCTTTTTGATAGTACTTTTTGTCTAAAATAAATAGAAAATATGAAACCTCAACCAGTTTTTGAGACAGTGTTCCAACTATGTTATTATTTCTTAGCAGTTCCTAGCGCCAGGTCCTTGACTACCAATGCTGGGCTCTTTTTTGAGTTTACAAGGTTGTTCTTTCCAGGCCCAACACAGGTTTTTAAAGCAGCCTTTCTTATAATTTAAATTTTAGTCTTGAAAGCCTGGGAATGGTGGCATTATCAAATAAGAGAGAATGGTGCTGAATCCCCATTTCTTGGGACAAAGTGACTGAAGGATAAAAGTGTGAAGACAGTTTGAAGAATCAGGGCTGTGGCGTAACCTCAAAGGCAGTGGCTTCTCTTCCCATACCTGCATGTTTTGTTGCAGCAGACAGATGTCAGAAATCTAGGGGCTTAAAGTTTATATAGATTTCATTTCAACAGAATACCGCTCACAGTTTTTTTTAAAAGCTGGATATGCTGGCACTAATAGAGGAACGGCTTATTTTTTGCATGCTGAGAGTTGCCACTCAAAAATAAGAGGAAAAGCAATATGTAAAAGCTATAATATTTGGCAAGATATGAGTAGTACTATAGAGAATTACAAATGATGTGCTTTGGAGGGGCTGTGTGTGGATCATATAAAGAAAAGGCTAGTTGAAGAAATTAAAAAAAAAAAAAGATCTTCTATAGAAAACTGTTTTTGATGTAGAGCTTAAGGGAGAAGAAAAAGGTTGGGCAGGTGCAGCAGGGCTGAGGCAGCAGGCGTATTCCCAGAAGAGGCAGAAGCATGAGCACAGGATTGGAGGTATAGTTGTAGGTAGGGAGGCATTGCTATACAGTGGAACTGCTTTATTACACTGGTGTGGGTAGAAAAATGTTGGCATGTATAGGTAAACTCAGGGTGGAATACAGAAATACAGTCAAGCCCAGCAGGTGATATTAATGAGGACTTTGACTTTTTTTATCCCAAGGGAAATGGAAAACCGTTGCAGGTTTTGAGCAGAGTCACTTGATCCGGGTGGCAGGGGCACTACTAAGGGTAAGCACGTTGTTCCAGGAACAAAAAAGGGCTCTTTATCTGGCCTTCCAGGATCAGGAGGCCTCCTGGAAAATAGCCAAGAGACAAGTGTGAAAAGAGCAGAGAGATCAGCTCAAGCTAAGGTCCAGAGGTGAGCTCCAGCCTGGAAGGCTCAAGAAGTGGAAGGTCTGGGCTGGTCACTAAGGGCCTTGTGCAACATGACGGGACTTGAACTCGATCCTGAGGGCAGTGGGGCACCAGCAGAGATTTTTATGGAGGGGAGGGACATGGTAAGTGACATGTCCCTTATACGGATCACCCTGACGGCTGTGCGGAAGAAGGTGAGACAGGAGGCAGGAAGACCAGGTGGGGGAATCCAGGAAGTGCTGGTGGCCTGCATTAAGTCAGCATCACAGAGGAGCAGAAAAGGAGCCAGATCCTAGAGTAATCACTCAGGAAAAATCAACAGGAGTTTGTGATGGAGTGGCTGTTGCGAACAAGCAACAGGGAAGGGTCTGAGTTGGCCTCCAGGTCCTTGGGCAAGGAGGTAGCTGCCAGCATGTGGTAACCAAAGTGATGCCAGTGGGTGAGATGACTCTGAGGGATGGACTTCCTCATGGGTGTGGAGAATAGGACCAGACTCTCCTCTAGTCTATAGCCCCAACGAAAGGGTCCTAACTCTGCTTTACCTCCTGATAAGCAAGTGGCAGTCTGTGAGGCAGCTCTGTACTCCAGGTAGCAGTCCTGGGTCTGTAGACAGTTGTTTAAGAAGCCAGGCTTTAAAAAAGGAGCACAGAAGGTATTTGGATTTCTGAAAATGAGAAATGAAACTGTTAGATCTCAAAATGCCTCATTCTGGAACAGCCTGAGTTGTGCATATTTGGGGTGAAGCGAACATTGTGTCAGGCCTGACAGGGGAACGTTCATTTTCTCGGAAAATATTTCCTGTCTCTCTTTTGGATCTCAGGCTCTCTCTTCTCCTACATAAAGACGGTAGCAGCCGGAGGAAGGTAGTGCCAGTTCTGGCTGTCCTTGGGATTCAGATTTAGTAAACAAATGCAAGTACCCTGGTGACTGATACCTGTCTGCCCCCAAGTTTGGAGGAAGCTGAGGGCTGGGCTAATGAGCAGGCTGTGTACCTGGAAACCTGAATACTAATTTGAGGTTTAACAGCCACATTGGAGAAAGTCCCTTTGGGAGACTGCAAGGCTGGCATTGTACTGGAATGATTGGGTTTAGATCATCTTTGAGACAGACAACCTGCTAGATTTGGATCAAACCCCTAGATTTTGATGGGGGTTTCTCACAGAAACCAGGATCAATCAGACAGATGTAGTAATGGCATGGGGTGGCAGGGCCACTAAATAGCAGGAGGACATGCATTTCATTCCATTCGGGCTGGACTGCCATCCCCCTCCCCCAAACTGTACTGAAACCTGATCAACTCATTTGTTGGAACGACAAATGGATATGCCAGAGCTTTTATAATTTATCAAGACAGGAGGACAGACACCTCATCACCCTTGGCCCAGTTAGTACTGTTTCTGATATTCCTGGTTCACTTCCGTTTTTCAGCCTGTATTTGGCAGGGCGATGGGCTAATTTGCATTACTGTTCTACTATTTTGCGTCTTTTTAGGATCCAGGCTATTCCACTGGAAGCTTGTTTTAGAAGAACCGAGCCAACAAAAGCTTTGTGTGGAACTCAACAAATTGTCACACGCGGTAACAAGGTTAAGAAAGAACAGGAGCAAACTTCGAAATGATGTTTTAGTTTTTTGTTTTGTACGTAGGGGGACGGGGAGGCGTGTTTGATGGATATATTTGCCACGGGAAAAGTGTTCAGGAGTGACTGTCTCTCTCGATTATATTTTTAGTGAAGTTGCCAATAATCAGGATTTACATAGGATAAAAGACCCAGTGAATATTTGAAAATCTTCTCTTTCCTGTTTCTGTATACTGTAACCACGGTAACAAGACTTCTTAGGCTTGCAGATTTTTAAGAAAGCAAATTACGGATGAATTGTTAATAAATATTGAAGATGGAGTAGAAACAACTGTCACGGTAAATATAGTCTTCAATGTGCAAATGAATATGTCCTTAGATGTCCTTTTGTACAAAACCAATTAAGCTGTCGTCCCCTTAGCCATGAAGTTATTCGCTCTTTCCTACCTCACAGGAGAGGACTGAAGGATACCATACTAATATCAGGTGAGGGAGAGCCCTCTGGTGGAAAATCATCAGGGCAGACAGTGACACAGGAAAAAAAGCAGAGAAGTCAAAGAAGGAATGTTAAATTTAGTCCAGCGAGTTGAACTGCAAAATATAAACATGATGGGACTTGCCATATCCTTCTGCTGATGTGGAAGATATTTATCAACAAGTCTGTCATGTGGAATTGTCAGGAATGTATTGAGGTTTGTGCTAAGTAGGAACTCAAATTAAAATCATTATTCCAAGGATACACAGTGTTCTTCATAGCCCTCACCCAAAAAGCTTGGGATGGATGAGGTCAGGGAGTGGGGGGTGCATTTTGGTAATAAATTTAAAAATCTAAAGTAGATGAGACGAACACCACCACCCCTACGCAGGGGTTGTTAGAGATAGGGTTCCAGTTGCTTCTTTAAACAGAAGAAAGCAATTCATTGTGTTGTTTTTCTTGTAACTAGGAAGAAAATTACAAAGCACTTTCACCCCCTAGTCCCTGACCATAATACATGCCTGAGATTATAATGCCACATTTTTACAAAAATTTTCATAGTCTCTTGGCTAGGGTCATGGTATTTCTGTTGGCCCTTTATTCTTTTTACTAATTATTTGTAAATATGAGAGGAGACTTTAAAAATCTTAAAATTTTGCAGTTTAAAATGACTTACTGGCTAACTGTTTATAGAGAGAGATTTAAAAAATCATATTGTGTGGAAAATACCCTGCTGTACATGTGCATTCATACATACATTCCTAAAAAACATATATCGTTAGGGTTGGGGCCCCTGGCTTATAACTCTGTTATTGACCATCATCCGTGAGCCCCTCTCAAGGGGTCAAAAAGCATGTTTCCAGGCAACAAGAAACTCACTTTGAAGCTTATGCCCTACAAAACCTGTGTAAGATACATCACCAGTGCAGTAGAGTCGGCCGGTTAAAACGTGGACCCAGCACCTTTTAGCTAAAACCACAATTGCCTTCATTTCCAGTCTGTGACACTGGAGAGTCTCGGACTGTCTAGTTGGCAAACCTGGTTTGTCCTTTTCTGACAAATGGCCGTATGGAGAAAATGGCTATAGCAAGAGCTTGTAAATCCTATCTGTCCTTCAAGGACCATCTAAGTAACGTCTCCTGTCTTCCTTTCAGCCTAAACTCTCGGGGTCTTCCTCTCTGTGAGACTCACATGGGCGCTCAGTCATATGCTGCATTGTATGGTGGCTTAACTCCTTGCATGGGTGTCCTGTCTCCCTGGTAGATGCATATGCCCTTGAGGGCAAGGCCAGCGTATCCTGGGTCTAGTCATTCATACTCATTCATTCGTTCACTCATTCATTCATCCAATAAATAGCTTTTGAGAGTATCTGGGACCAAGTTTTATTCTCTGGAGATGTACTGGTGAACAAAATGAACAAGATCCCTTTCCTGCCTGTGGGAGTGGTGAACCTTCAACTCATACCCATAACTGGAAATTTTCCACAAGGAAAGATAAATATAAATATATACACTGTGATAAAACTTACAGAGGAAAAAAGAATATAGTGCCATAAGAGAGAACCCTGGGTGGCCTTATTTATGTTGGGGGTCAGAAGACACCACCGAAGTGGAAATGTTTAAGATGAAAACCAAAGACATGGTATTCCCCACGTACTAAAAAGTACTTTTTACTTCGAGAAATGTTTAATCAGCTCTCAGGTCACGTGGTATCATACTACTAACTGCAGAGGGTCCTCCTGGCTGTGTCTTCCAGTGCGACCACACCCTTCCCTTATTTGCCACCAACCAGTGTATGTTCTTTCTGGTGCTCCCTGGTTCTAATAGCCCATGGAGACCCTGCCGTGTCAGCACAAGCTATAGTGGAGGTGAAACAGCTGGACCTCGGTGCTACTTGCAGAGATAGGACAAAGGTTCTTCTCGTGAACATATTTACAAAGCATTTTAGCAGTCTAGAGAACAATTATGCTAACCACAGCACCAGGCCCTTGATCGCTGTAATGCTTCAAAATAAAAAGCACGTGGCCTTTGGAATTCAGCAGATCTGGATTTGAAGCTAGCCCTGTGACCTTGAAGAGATTTCATAGTCTGTTTTCTCATCTGTAAAATGAGGGCAAACTCACTTGAAACTCACAAGGTTTTGTGAGGATTAACATAACGTACCCAGACACGGAAGAGAAGGCAGTCGCTAAACCTTCATTGCAATCCCCTGTATTTCTTTCTTTCTGGATTTGGTCCGGGAGGGACCTGGGGACACCAGGCAGCGTAATTATTCAGAACCTGGAAGCTGGAGTCAGGAACACACAGACAGAAGCCCAGATAAGTGGGTGGGGCCCACCTAGGAGGAGAAAGAGGGGCTTTGCATTAGGGCTCCTTAAGACTTATGGGAGTTTGATCACAAGGAAGAGTCTGTTCTAGGTCCCCCAGGAGAGGGATGTGAGCCGGGCAGGAGGTAAGTTTCCCTCAAGACCCGAGACCCATAGGTAACTGCATTGGTGAGATGGGCCTTGGGAGTGGTGCAGGGGAGGGCAAACAGGAAAGGCAGAAAAGTATGGGAGGAGAAACTTACCTCGAATAGGACATACGGCTTGTCTGCAAATGTTGTCTACAAATGTTATATGTGATTATAATCAGATCCCTCTTAATCCTTTACAGGTAAGTACAGATGCTTCCAGCTTGAGAAAGGCAGATCCCAAAGGTCGGAGTGCACTGTTGGCTGATATCCAGCAAGGAACTCGCCTACGAAAAGTCACGCAGATCAATGACCGCAGTGCCCCGCAAATCGAGAGTAAGTGAGCATCTGGGCCAGGGCGGCTGAGAGCCAAGGGCAGGCCATGTGAGGCTCAGCCAGACACGCCTGGCTTGCTCAGGGCAGGAGCCACAAATGCTACCCAGGACACACATCAGGCCATCTCAGACCTGCTCAGTGTACAATTCACATGGGCGAGAGAATCAGAGCTACCCTTCCAGGTCTGCAGAGGGTGTATAGCATGTCTACCATCACTTTTCAAATGCTTAAAAAAAAAACCTTCATGGTAAGATAATTTTTTAGTTGTGATAAAATACACATAATATAAAGCTCACCATTTTAACCATTTTAAAGTGTCCAATTCAATGGCATTTATCCATATATATTCAGAATGTTGTTGCATCCATCACCCCTGTCTAGTTCCAGAACATTTCCACCACCCCAAAAGGAAACCCATACCTATTAGCAGTCCCTCCCTAATCCCTCTATCTCCCCTAATCCCTCTATCTCCCCTAATCCCTTTATCTCCCCGAATCCCTGGCAACCACTAAGTCTACTTTCTGTCACTATGGATTTGCCTATCCTGGATATTTCATACAAATGGAATCTTATGATACGTGGCCTTTTGTGACTGGCTCCTTTTACTTCCCATAATGTTTTCAAAGCTCATCCATGCTATAGAATGTATCAGTACTTTACTCCTTTTTATTGTGGAATAAGAGTTGATTGTATGGATGTACCACTTTGTGTTTATCCACTGTGAGGCAACATTTAAAGATCATTTACCCTGTGTCAACATAGTCCTCAAACTGAATGAGAGAAAAATTCAAGTCTCAACGTTAACAAATGCACACAGATGTCCACAGAGCCTGGCAAAGTTTTTGTTTTTCACAAGGAAAAATATTTGTGCTGAATTCTCTCACAGGATCATATGACTGTATGTTTCTATGACTTCTAGAGTGTGATGGTGTAAAAGGAACCCTGTGCCTGGGTCAGATGACCATGTTGAGTTCTGATTCTGCTACTGGGCAAATCAGGGAAGCTCTCTGAGGCTCAGTTTGCTCATCTGCAAAATGGGGAGATAATAATACCTGCTCTCTTTTTTTGTCAAGATTGTTGAAGGCTGAAATAATATATGCGGAAATATTTTTCAATGTAAGGTATTATTATGTCTCCATATATTTTGCTATGATACCTGATGGTAATTCTCAAAGATAGTCCTAAGATATAATTGTATCTAATATCTGTTATTATATATGTTAATGCACATGGATAGACAAATTATTTTAAGACATATTTTCAACATTGATTATAATAAAAATTAGTTTCTGGCTAGACCCACTATCTAATGTTAAGCCCAATTAACAGATAAATCCATTTTATTGGAACACTCATTTCTTTATCATTCTAGTGAAGAGGTAATATATAATGTTAATACTTGGAATAATCTTGGAATAATCACCAGTGGGCACTGTGCCCTGATTTCTCTGTGCCTATTAGCTTCAGGCTGTGAACATTTTCTGCCAGGAATTCTTGGAAGCTGTCTTCTCATTTTATGTAATCACATACATCTGGAAGGCTGGAATTAGTGACACCTCTCCTCAGGGGCCCATGAGCTTTCTCTTCCATAGAAAAAGAACCGGTGCAGGGAAGAACATGGGGCGTGGGGAGTGGGAGCTGGGGAGACAGAGAAGGAAAATGCCAAAGCAAAAATCACTGCAGACCTTCAGTTCCTGCTTGCAAATCCTGGGCCAGGCTCTGTGGACAAGAAGTTAAAATTATTGCCTGAATTAAATCTGTGGGTTTTCTTGGTCTAGTCCTCCCACAAAACCAGTCAATTGAAAATGGGGTCAGCTCTATACATACAGTGTCTGGGTTTTCTAATTTGAAAGGTACTGCCAGTTCCCCCATTGGCATCTACTAAATGGCAGTATAAGGATGCTTTTTTATTTTTTTGTATCCCTTTTCAGAGTGGTCACTACTGATGGTTCTTTGGTAGCTTGGAGAGAGTGGCAGACAGGCCTGGGCACGTGAGTCTATAGGGTATCAAGGCAGGGGGTTCTTGAGAAAGGTACTGGGTAGAAGGGTAACACTGGTGGTGAGAACAGGACGGCTGCCACAGGCAGTGTTAGACCACATTCGGGGTGAGAGTTGGCCACTCAGCTCTGCTCACAGGTCCGCATCTACTCGCCTCTTCTCTCTAAAGGTTCTAAAGGAACCAACAAAGAAGGAGGAGGTCCTACAAACTCTCGAGGCGGGAGCACGCCCCCAGCCCTGGGAGATCTGTTTGCTGGTGGCTTTCCAGTGTTACGACCAGCAGGCCAGAGGGATGCAGCAGGTAAGGAAGAATTCAGACTGGCTACCCTGTGACCCTTATCTCCTTACCTTGTAGAACCAACAGGACAATCCTCATCTGCCAGTAAGTGACATGTTGAGAGTGAACAGTTATATGGTAGGAGATGACATATTTGGAAGCCTGAGCACTGTAAGTCTCCAAAACACAGAATTGTTTTTAAGGGATCTTTGAAATCCTCATCCTGTTTAAATCATCCCACTGTAATCACTGAAGAATGAGTTGCCATAGTGTAGAGTCTTTAGCAAGTGAGATTGTGGCCCACACTGCAAAGTATGGATGTAAATCACAGTAGAACATCTTAGTGACATCACTGTGGACTCGCTGGCAATGGTGAGTTGTGATGGTTCTCCAGCATTGTATCCGTTAGGTGTTGCTGTGTAACAAACCCTAAACCTGAGGGGCTTTGAATAACCATTTATTTAGCTTACAGCTCCGTGGGTCGGCAATTAGGGTGGCCTCAGCTGGGCCCCCTCTAGCATCTAAAGGTTGCATCAGTGGCTTTGCTAATTGTATATTTCTTATGTCTCTGGTGCCCCTGCTGGGACAACTGGCCTGACTGATCCCTCGGGTCTCTCAGGATCTAGCAGACTATTTAGGTTTGTCTTCATGGTGATGGCAGGATGGAGAGGACAGAGTATGTAAAACCTCTTGAGGCTTGGTCTTTTTTTTTTTTTTTTAATAAATTTATTTATTTTCTTTCTTTATTTTTGGTTGTGTTGGGTCTTCCTTGCTGCGCACGGGCTTCCTCTAGTTGCGGCGAGCGGGGGCTACTCTTCATTGTGGTGCGTGGGCTTCTCATTGCGGTGGCTTCTCTTGTTGTGGAGCACGGGCTCTAGGCATGCGAGCTTCAGTAGTTGGGGCATACGGGCTCAGTAGTTGTGGCTTGCGGGCTCTAGAGTGCAGGCTCAGTAGTTGTGGCGCATGGGCTTAGTTGCTCCATGGCATCTGGGATCTTCCCGGACCAGGGATCCAACCCATGTCCCCTGAATTGGCAGGCAGATTCTTAACCACTGCGCTACCAGGGAAGTCCTGGCTTAGTCTTGGAACTGGCAAAGCATCACTTCCTACCACAGCCTGTCGCCCGAAGCAAGTTACAGGCCAGCTCAGAGACCAGGGTGGGCAAGAGACTTCAACTCTGATGAAAGGAACTGCAAAATCACATTTCCAAGACTGTGGAATCAGGAATGCGTGGTTAATTGAGACCATTTTTGCAACCAGTCTACCACAGTCATTTGTGTTTTAACAGGTACCAGATGTTTTGAAAGCACTGAATTAAAATCGGGCAAATATATAATTATTATGTGCAAAAAAAAAGTCTTTTTCCTATTACTGTGCTCTTTAGTCAGAAAGATATGACAAAATCCAAGAATTTCATTTGTCTAGGGAATATCGAGCCCCAAACATTCCTGGTCTAGAGTCTTCTACCATGTGACTTCACTAACCTCTTCAATGGCCTCTGTGGCTGTTAGATGTTACAGGGTGCATTTGCTGCCGTCACTTACTGATAAAGTCCAGTTTGAACCTTCGGAGCCATTTCATTTCCTCATTTTTGCTGAGACTTTGGCAGATAAGAAGGTGCTGAAGTCCTCCTGAATAAAGAGAGCTGGCATTCCTCAGAGCCTGCTTCTTTTTCAAAATTCCTGAGTTGCATCCAAAAAAAAGTCTTCTGGGGTATAAAACTTCCACTGGTCTCTCTTCACACAAATAAAGATAGGAGAAATAACCGCCAGTGAGCTTTTAACAGGGACCAGCCAAAGGAAGTCAGCAGTATTCTAACTTGTCTCCAATAGGACACAAGTGTCAGATGTTTGAGCAACTAGGTGAAGACAAAAATTGACCTTTTTGGAGGCAACAAAGTCCATAATGAAGTGACTAATTATGCCTGTTACAGGATGGAAACTCAAGGACAAGCCAATAGGTAGATACACAGACTGGGTGCCATGTCAGAGTAAGACAGACCATGGCTCTCCTCTCTCAGAACTCTCAGAATGACCCCTTTGTCATTCAGAGAAAAGGACTTCGGCCCTGGCTACCTGTCTCATCTTCTTTGCTACCACTCTTGGCAGCCACCCAGCCCTCTTTGCTGTTCTTGCACATACCAGGCATGCTGCTACCACAGGGCCTTTGCACTGACCACTCCTATGGCCTGAAACATTCTTCCTAAGGTGTCTACATGGCCCAGTCTCCCTTCCTTCAAGTCTCTGCTCAAGTGGCAGCTGATCAACCTATCAGGGAGGCTTTTACTCATCATCTCATATATTGATAAAATATGAGTCCCACCCTCTCATTCTATATTCTCTCTACCTTGATTTATTTTTCTTAGTTATCACCATCTGACATATTATTTATTAACTGGTTTCTTTCTTTATTTTCTGTCTTCTCCCTCTAAATGTGAGCTCCATGAAGGCAGGAGCTGTGTTGTGTTCATTACCTTACAAATGCCTGGTGCATAGTGGGTGCTCAGTAAATATTTGTTGAGTGGAATGTGTGAGTGGGTAGTGTGGTTGCTTAGAGCCATCAGGCCCAGAAATCGGTGTCTAGTGCTCACAATACTTTTAGCCGCCCATGAAAATGTTTGAATTTCTTTTAAAATTTAAAAAACTTGAACTTTTAAGGTCAAAGATTATATTTGTCTTTATACCAAAGCAGTCAGGAAACATAATTTTAAAAACATTTTTTAAGGAGGAAGGGGCCCACAGAGGCAAAAGCACCCAGGGTCTTTGAAAGTCATAATGTGGCCCTGGCTTAGAGCTCCGAGGGAGGGATCGTTAAAATAAGATATGATGAGTAAACATCACTGGCTTGTATAGAATGTGTAGTGAGACTTCCATGCAATCCAAGTTCTCTTGGAAACATAGACAGATGGAAAGAGGAAGCCATAGTTCATCTTTTGATAAACCCCATGCTCTAAAAGCTGATTCCTTTCACATCAGTGAAGCCCCCTTGATGCTCTTGAGCTGGTCTTTCCCCACCCGCTTCATGGTCTCCTCCTGTGTTTCTAATTGGATTTTTAGGGCTAGCATTCATGTTCTGAAGGAAAGCCTCCTTCCTTCCTTCCCTTGGTGCTTGCTCACTCTTGGAGCCCTCTCTGCTGCCTGGTTTCCTCACCTGCACTGATGCTGATTCCCGTGGGTCTCACCTTCAATTCGTGCTGCCCAGCTCTCTGCTTCATCCTGGAATGGGCATGAACATAAGCTGGGCAAGGATTTGTGCTGTCCTTGTTTCTGCTGCTCACATTATGATAAAAAAAAATGGGTCTTCCCATTTCTCATTAGGTTGGCCACTTAAAAGGTTTTGGAATCTCAGATACGTGGTGTTCCCAGACACTTAAGGGGTTGATTCTGTTCCTCAAACTTGTTATCCCTTTAACGTTCATCTGGCAGATGGGCACAGAGGGAAGCCTTGCCTTGTTTGGAGAGCAGTCTGGGTCTCTGTGTACTGTGGAAACAGGTTTGAGACCTTGGATGCAGGAATCCCTGAGGCTGACACCTATATAAAGTGTCTCACGTTGGAGTTGTAGGTGGTAGATCCTGTCCCTGGAAAGGCCAGGTGGGGACCTTCCACTCCTGGTCATGGTCAGTCAGCCATTCTGGAAATGCCCGCCTTAGACCTCCGGTGGCACCAAGTCCGCCAGGGTGGATGCATAGGTGCAAAGACATTATCTCCTCCACGACCACCTCAAAGAAAATTGCAACAGAGAATAATGACACCACCACCCTGCCTCAAGAACAGCGTTCCACAGTTGAGACTTATCCTGAGTTGTGTTGTCCAGGTGGCTGTCACATCATAGCCAGAGGAGGGTCATCTGTTTGGAAAGCCAGATACCGCGGTCCTGCTCACTTAGTTTCAGCCCCAGGATCACCTCTTCCATATCTTGCCTTGATTGGCCTGACTTGCGGTATCAAGTACTTTTAGGCATGATTTAGCACCTGATTGGGTAAACACACTGGAGACTCATGGGCTGAGAAGCTCAGAACCATCAACAGCTGCTGGCGTTATAATTTGCCATGAAAGCTGTGTTCCCTATTCTGCAGCACGAGGAAGTTGGAGGTGTGAGAAGCAAACATTTTTTTCAAGTGTTTTCCACATGTTTTCATGGAGATTATAAAATATAGGGGTGCTGTAATAGGAAAAATGTATTCCCCAAAATTCCTTTTAGGAAGGAATGTACTTATTCAGAAGAAATGTCTTAATATGCCTCCTGAGTGGAGGGTGATACTCCGAGGACGTATTTAAGCGATTGCAGAACTTCTGTGCAGTAAACAGGGAGAGGAACTTTTTTCTCCTCAGAGCAACAGAGGGGAAAAAAGGGTAAGAAGTGGCAGCTGGGTGAAAAGGTGTGCAGAGGGGGGAGGCCCCAACCGGGGAGCACCCTCCACCCCAATCGCCCATAATGTCCACCAAACACAAATGCTTACTGTGAGCAAGTCGTTGTTGCTGTTGAGTTTAAGAGGCATTGGATTTCAAGTTGGAGTTGATGTGGTAAAGGATCTATGGGGTGAGGAAGCCAGGTGACCAGGAGACAGAGAGCCCCTTAGAAATGGGTGCAAGTCTTTGGGAAAGGGAGCTTTGAACTTCCAGAGTGCATGGAACTGGAAGGTTCAAGGTCATTGGACCTGGATCCCCAAGGCAGGGTGTCTTCCCACTGACTTCCAAATCACCTCGTCCATTCAGGGAACCTTGAATCTTCTGCTCTCGATGCAGAAACAAAGTCCTTGTTCACAAAATGCTGGGAGTGGGGAAAACCTCCCTCGTCAGGAGCCTTTGGGTGGTACACCCGCAGATGTGGACTGACTGGCCTAGTGGGTAACAGGGGATGAGTGTGCCGGTGGCCTTGAGATGAGGAAGGGTGAAGGAGGTCGGGGCAGTCCTGTGTCCTGGGCTGGGAGCATGGAGCCCTGGGCAGGTGAGAGTGGAGGTAGAATGGAACAGGAAGGCCGGCGCCACACAGCAGACAACCTGGTGGCTTGAGCTGGGCTTCTCTCACAGGAGGGGGACAGCGCGTTTATTCTGGCAAGGACCTGGGGCTGGTCCAGCTGGCCCTCTTGTGTGATAGCTGCTGCATCTGAGGCCTCCACTGGACCCTCTGGAAGAGAGCATCCACCAGGCGGTTCACTGACGTCGTGCTGGACAGCGTCCATCACTGCCGCCCATACCCTTGCGTTTCTCCCAGTTCTACCCGCTGAGCTAACTCAGAACTCCTTTCACTTTCAGGCGGCAAGACAGGGCAGGGCCCTGGCTCCCGAGTGCCGTCTCCCCGGCTTCCCACCAAAACTATCAGCGGCCCGTTCAACCCCCCTGCATCTCCCAGGCTAGGAGACGCCTCCGAGGCGCATGGCGTGGCCGGGACGGTCCCTCCTCGCCCCAGCATGCCCGCCCCACCTCCCCCGCCCTTACCCCCGGCCCTGCCGCCATCCTCCCCCGCCAAAGCCCCGCTGGTGTCCCCACCTGGCCCACCGACCAAGGGGAGCGCCCCGGTGCTCGCACCCCCTCTGCCCTGTGCACCGCCGCCCCCACCCCC